TGTGACTAATTATATAGAATTTGTGATCAAATTATATGGAATTGTGATTTTAATATATTTAATTAAAAAATATATGTTTAATTAATTAAAATATAAATAAAATTTTAAAAAATCTAAGAAATTTTAAACATTAAAAAATCTGAAATTTGAAATTTTAAAACTTATGTCTTAAATTTTAAATTTGAAATGGGTAAAATTAAACCAATTATTAATTTTTCCCATTAATAAATTGACAGTCAAATGAAATTGTTTCAATTTCTGCAACTCAAATGGAGATGCACAAATTGAAGTAATTGGAGAGTGAATAAATAGCGGAGCTGGAAAATTCGTTGGAAATTCTACCAGCAGCCGAATTCTGCTGTATATATGGCTCCATCCTCCATCCAAATAATTTTGACAAGGTTTCAGTAACATAAAGCACATGTAAATAGCACTTGCAGAACTGGGGTGCAGAAATAATGACAAAATAGTTCTTGCAGCCAAGCTGTTTGATGAAATTACTCTTCGAATTTTTTATTTTTTAAATGTGACTCCTTATATTTCCTTAAATGCTTCTCATTTAGCCTATGTACGATTGGAAATTTGGTTGCAGTTGGAATTATGATTCCATTTATGCTTCAATTTTCTCTGAAAAATGTATGGAACGTGCTAAGTTTACTTCCTGTAAATGACATGGAGATGCGCAAATTAAAGTGAAAGAGAACGGAGCTGGAAAGTTTTCTGGAAATTTTGCCCCCCAGTCGATTTCTGCTGCATGTATGGCTCTGCCCTCCTTCCAAATAATCTTGACAAGGTTTCATCAACATAATGTACTTTTATATTTTCAAATTTATTTTAAATCTTTGTCATTTTTTGGTCACATTAATTCTGTTTTTCCAGATTTTCATGATAGATTACTTTATTGGTGTGCAAAATCCTCAACAATGGCACACCGAGGTATGTTGGATTTATTCCGAAAAATTCATCTATTTCATCTTATGCGTCATGCTAATAACTGTCGGATGCCATTGTTTTTTTGAACTCAAGAATCTTTTAATGAATCAGAATCAATATGCATCATGGATGGTGCACCTTGGTAGACAGGTAGAGTGAGGCGGGTATTACATCTTGTCTATTTCTCATTTGAATAAGTTTAGTTTGTTGCTGGTCTGACATGAAACTAGTTATCTCTGCCAGATTATCAATGTTGGCGTACACTTCAATCCATTTGTTGATCACAGTGATAAGGTTCTTGCATATGTTTGTGCAAGTCAAGGGATTCTAAGTAAAATCTACTTGCATCAGCATATCTGCCATTCGGAATTTTAGTTGAAATTTTAACATTAGTTACTGTTCCAGATGTTCAAGTGCGACAAATGCACGATTTTATTCAGGACATTCTAGGATGAGAGAGATTCTACTACGTGGCCTGTTGCAGAAACCTATATGTCTCACCTGAAGTACCTTTCCCGTACTGTTTGCGACTTTGCTTGAATCCATAGGATCCATAATATTCACTCGAGGCTATCTGTTAGTTTTATTTTTTGTCTATACAATGTTACACTAATTACTGATAAAAACAACACATAAGTAGTAATATTTTCACCAGTTAAAGTAAGTGTTATTGAACTTCAATTACCCCTGAGATCATACCTGGTAATTGATATCTTATTAGGTTTTTAAGTAACCTCTAATTTCTCATATGCATCATTTTCTCTTTCTTTATTGGGTAATTGCATATGAGGAAGATATTGATCTTCCCGTGCCTTGAGATCAATCTTCTTTAGGCCGTTTAAGTCATCCAACTCATCCTGGAAAATATTCGGAATTTTTCACGCTTCTAAGTTAAATTGGTTCAGGACACCACTCTAAAAAATAGACAGAGATATTAATTTTCTCAAGTGTTTCTAATGTTTTTACTACGTCCAAAGTTATACGCAAAATAAATCTTCAGTAATCTCCCATTCATTTAATAAAATTGGTTTCTTTTTCGTTTTTTGAGAGAAGTTGTTACACCCCCACTCATTATAGTCAAAGCCAAAAATTCAATTGGTCAAAGTCAGAGTCAAATGAGGACTTAAATTAAGTAAAATAATTTCATGGGGACTATTATAATCAAATGGTATCTGTTGGGACTAGTTAGTGAACGTGGTATCATAAGGGTCTAATTTACAAATTATACCAAAGTTGAGGGACTCATATTAATTATTGCATTATTTTCCCATTTGTACTGATTAATTTTATCTTCCCAGGTAGAACGACACAAGTGTCGTTTTCTGGACAGTAACGACACAAGTGCCGTTCTCATTGAATTTCATTCACTCAGCATAACGACAATTGTGCCGTTCTGATATCAGTAACAACATAAGTGTCGTTTTGCACCCTATTTTCATCAATTTTCTTTTCTTTTCGTAACTCAATGTTTCATCAGGTGTCTTTCTCATTATCGTTATATTTGTACTCATAAATTTTATCTTCCTAGGCAGAACGACACAAGTGTCGTTTTTTGCACAGTTTGCTTTTCTTTTCATAACTCAAGATATCTTTTTCATGTCTTCCCAGACAGAACGACACAAGTGACGTTCTCATGGACTTATTTGCACAACATAAAGATACTTGTGCCGTTCTAGTAGACGTTCAACCTGGGAGTGACGATAAGCATTGGACCCCCTAACTTAAAAATGTCGACAAACTGATTGTCTTTTTGGTTAGTCAATCTAACTTGCCTATTTTGGTACGCAAAATCGTCATCTTCAATCCTCTTAGTTAAAAAAAAAAAATCGGTTATTGTTGCTCGGATAGGTCCCAGGCCTAAGAAATCATGTTTAGAGGCAGAAGACACTTGTGTCGTGAAACGGCACTAGTGCCGTTCTGTTGATTTCTCCGATATTTTATTACTTTTCTGTTGATTATTGTGATTCGGACGGGTCGTGGCTCTTCAAAATCCATTTTAAAGCCAGAACGACACTTGTATCATTTTCAAAACAGTAACGACAATTGTCATTTTCTTTTTTCCTCTTGATTAAGTAATGAGCAAAAATTTCGAATGTTGTCAGTGTCGTGTTCAACCTGCAACTTAATTGAGTTCAACTCATCATTATCGTGGTTCGGACGGGTCGCGACTCTTCAAAATCGATTTTTGATACAGAACGACAGTTCTCAAAGCAGTAACGACACTTTTGTTATTCTGTTGATTTCTCCAATATTTTGCTACTTTTCCAGCGGAAAGACGTCTAGCATTGGACCCCATAACTTAAAAAGGTCGACAAACTGATTGTCTTTTTGGTCAGTCAATCTAATTTGTCTATTTTATTGAAAAATGGTATTTCATATGTGGTCATGATTTCAAACGACATTCTGTGAATGCATACCTTGCTATAATGGGAAATTGTATATTTTCCTGACTTTTCTGGTATGTGCATGATGAATTGAATAAATATGCAGTGAAAGATGTATCTTTACAATTAAAAACAATATTTGTCTTAAACCTTGTGGTTTACGGGCATCCGTCTTTATCTATGAAGCATGTTTGATAATATTTAGTTCATGATGGTTCATCATTGTCAAAGACAATTGCGCACGTATGCGAATTGGTATGATTAAATTTAATTGACCATTGTTTAGACAATTTATCAAACTAATATGACAAGTTCAAGGTTTGTACCATATCAATGGTTGACCTTTTGGTCTTGGTAAATTAATTGAGATTGAGATCAATGACTATATTTCTAAAAGTGTGTGGAGTTCCTCTAGATATTGATATTCCTAGTCACGACATGT